AACTGAAGCTTGAAAATCTTTCCTTTTAATGCAGAAATCACACAGACCATAGTTTATGAAAAGATTAGGCAGAGTAGCCTAGGGAAACATGGCTGGGTTCTGACTGTTTCACCATTTATTTCTTATTTTTCTTTGACCTTAGGCAAACTTTATTGAAGCTTCAGATTCCCCAAGTTTAGAATAGATCCTTATTTTATATGTAGACTTATTTTATTTTGTTGTTAAGAGGAACAAGTGAAATAACATATGAGTATTTGAAAACACTTTATATAAATGGTGTAATGTCATAGAAGTGTAAATTATTTTTATTATTTTGCTATAAAATTTCCCTAGTTCTTTGTTTACTCTTTATTACATTCTCCATCCTCTTCCATTACCAATATTTCTCTATCTTTCCTCACACAGAAAACTTTTTCTTTCCTGTAACAGTTTCTTATCGCAATCTTCTGGGGGAAATTTCTTTTATCAACCTCCAAGACAATGCATCTGCTACATGACCCCTAACCTCTGACCTCAAATAATAAGTCAAATGATTAGACTAATTCCTAGATAGTAAAGCCTAAATTCAAAACATGTTCATCCATTTTGTCCTTTTAAAAATGTAAAATCCATGTGAATTAGATTCATGATTTTAATTGTATAATCTAGTACCACTGAAGAAATGAAATAGAATAAATAGTTGAACCCACTGAAGTTCTTCAAGGTAACATATATGGCATTTAAGATGACAATATTTCCACTATTAGAATTATAAAATAGCAATCTACTGGTGTCTGAAATAGCCAATCTGCTGGTGTCATATTTTTGAACTAGTTTTGAATAATTAGATTTACTTCAGCTCATTAATGTTCATTTTAAAGTTTTTTTTTATCCTTGATGATTTCATGTCTTGATTAGTTGGCCTCTATGTCAATTTGTAAGTCCCATTACTATTAATTTATCTATTTATATAGTAATGAGTTACACATAGGCAAAAAGGAAGTGTATACTCCTGGGAAGAATTTTAATTGCAAAGATAATAATAGTATGTCCTCCCTTAAATCTATCTGTAGTAGCTGTTTAAAAATAAATATATTTCACATTAGTATCACAAATGTCCTATAAGATCAATTATTTAAAAACCAGGTTAATTCTCTGAATCAAAAGTAAATTATGACTAAGTGTTGTTGAGAGCCAGAATGCTTCACAATCTAATACACTGAGAACGCTATAGGAAGAATATAATTATGCTTGTGATTTGGCATATTTTAAAGTATGACCTTATTATTTTTTTCTGGACAAAACCTTCCATTCAATTTTCCTAATAAGATGCAGAGATAAAGAAAGAAGCTAAGACACCAGAGTTCAGAAAAGTAGAAGTAAGGGAAGCAAAAGTTCTTTCACAAATCTGGGAATGCAGAATTGATGCATAATCGAAGTTTTGCTTCCTTGATTCACAGACAAAAATGAGTTGTCCTAAATGAAAAAAGTCATTTTCAAAAGATAAGATTCGACACCCACAGTTTTAACTTGTAGAGACTCTAAAGAAATACATACCTATAATAGGCTATAAAATATTCACTCACTCTAGTTAAGTTCTTGTGTTTTTACTAAGCTCAAACTGTCCATCTAAAACAGAATTTCAGAATTCTGCCATTCGCAACAACATGGATGAGTGTGGAGAATCTTATGTTTAGTGAAATAAGCAAAGCACAGAGGGATAAATACTGCACGTCCTCATTCATAAGTGAGAGCTAAAAGAGAAAGAATGGAGGAAAGAAAGACCACAGTGGTGCATTGGACTTGCAGAGGCAGAGAGCATACCTAGGGTTGCAAAGTGGGGTGGGGGAAAAAGGGAGGGGGAGGAAGGTAGGGGGTTAATTATGTGTGGGACACAGGGTATAATTGCAATTTGTGACAACGGACATGCTGCCAGTATTGATCTGGCCATCACGTCTTGGGCACAAGTGGTGATGGTCAGCTTTATACTACATGAATATTCATAACCAATAAAAAAAAAAGAAAATAGAATTTCAGAAACCAAGATGTAGCTTCTCACCAAGACATCATCATAGGGACTGCAAACATTTCATTTTATATTTTAACAGAAGAGTCTACACTATTAAATGATAAGAAATAACAATGAACCATGTACTTGGACACTTTACTGAAGTGAGGCTGGGTGATGTAATGTGATGGCTACTCATCCAGACGTTGGGGACTTGTTGCTTTACCTACACCTGTGCCAGCAAATAGCTGCATGACCGGAGGCAAATCATTTAATTTCTCCAGGGTCTCCATTTCATAATGTATTAAATGTAGGCCCTGCATTAGGGAAACTCTTAGGTCTCTTTTATTTCTAAACATTTTTTTTTCATTTTATGTTTCTGAACAGAAAATAACGTATCACTTAGGTAAAATAAGTCTCTCTGAACGGATCTTACTATATCATGCTTGACTCGAATACAACTTCAACATTGAAGCTCATTTATTAAAAGTAAATCAGAAGGATGCATAAGTTTCTTACCTCTACAATTCCTATTTTTCCATCATCTCTCTGCCCATACTGATCCACAAAAGTTTTCATCTCAGGTGATAACTCCTAAAATTACATAAAAGCAGGTAAGAAGTTTGTAGAAAAATGCCCAATTATTATGGTGTTAATAACTGTGAAGAAAAACCAAAATTGGAAAAAATTATGCATACTGATTAACTATTCTCATGAAAATTAAAGACGTAACTGATATACTGTATTTATTGGTTTTAAATGACAGGGTTATAATTATGGTTAGCATTTCTGAATCAATCACCATGATTTGTCTTCTGTTAATTTTGAGAATATGCTATCCTTTGAAAATGTAGTCAGAATCATTCAATTCATAACCTTCAGTGAATTTAATATAATAATCACTGTTAATATGTTTTAAACATTGCTTGCTTCAGTAAAGATTATTTTATATTGCTGCACAATCTTGTCCTATAACATTTTCCTTACTCTAACATGTTTTATCCATGGAAGATAGTAATACGTGTTCTCAGTTTGCACAAACATAAAAAGTAAATGTTGAAGGGTAATTCACTTAGTAAGCAAGGGAAGTTCCCAGCACAGAAGAGGCACTCATTCATTAAACAAATTTAAAAATTAGATATCAGGAAAAAAGTGTCAATTAAAAAAATGACTCGATGAGTTTGTACTTTCACAAGAGACAGACAATATTGATGACCTTATTTTAGGCCACTGATTATATATTTAAGATCTTTGCCTCCAAGAGTATCTTAGGGAGCAGTTTTCTAGTGTTGCCTTGTTTCCACTTGTTCCAAGGTGGTGTTCTCTGCCCCATGTATTTTAGTGAAATAAACATGCTGAAGAGTGACAAAGTGAATGCTTTCTTCTCATTGGGCTTGTTTTTTTTCCCAACCTGTTCTATTGCTTATATAATCTCTCTGCATATTGACAGATTAAAAGGCTAGGAACTATAAACTAGTGATCTGAACATAAAGCTAGTATTCAGGAAGTTTAATTTTTACCCTTGGGTCTCCAACATAGCCCATTTAAAATAGCCCTGTTGCATTAACGGAAGCCTATTTAAAATAGGTCAGTCCTTACTAATGTCCTATTCTATGTCCTTGGAAAAGCAAATTGAAATCTCAATTTTCATTTTCATCGTAACTAACAAGATGATGGTATTATCTACCACACAAGTTTGCTCTAGTAATAGATAAGTTAATATAATTTAAGGCTATATTGAGGCTGACTATCATTACTACTACTATTTATAAAATCTTTTTGGAACCAATGTAAATACTCATATCTTTAGTAGAACTAATATAACAAATAGTAACAAAGCAATTTAATTATATTGTAGCATTAAAAAAAAACCTCTTCTACTATAAATAAATTGTAATTTACATTTGTTAAATCTTGTTGCAGGAACAATTGCAAGAAAATGAAAATGTCCATCCAAGACAATAGTGGGAATATCAGTCTATGCTTTTTACACATATTTTAAAGTAAACAAAACCCAAAGAATTTGTTTTTAAATTTTAAAGATGTATATACCACTAGTTTTACTAGCAGATTTGACATTTAGTTTGTGAAATTTCTGGGTGGCAATTATGTCAAAATATATTTTTTGAGTAGTGCTAAATGTGTAATCATTATCATAATCAATTAAAGATTTATAAAAATGAATGCAAATTTAAAGACTATACAGTATGGTTAGTGTAAAATGATAATTTATGAAAATATATTGGGTTGTTTTATTTTATTACAGTTATGTTCACTTAGTGAAATTTTTGAAATTTCACATTAATATGACAAGCCAAACAATGTTTCTATTAATGCAATAAAATCTGTTATGCTATGGCCAGAAATGCAAAGACGATTGGTTTATAAGGTCAATCTTTGTGTTCTAAAAAAAAAAAGGAAGAAATACATAAAGGTAGGTTTACTTCAATGGGGTCGGTAGCATAGTGAAACATGTGTCTAGTATATGAACCTCTTAATCTAGATCTTTATTTAGATTTAATTATTTATTTAGTTTTAACTATCCAAAGCCTATATACATAATCCAGAAAAATACTCAAGAATCAAGGTATTAAGCAACTTGATGTAATCCTATACTCGTGCTCAAATTTAGTATTATTGGATTATAATCTAATAACTGGAGCTTCAGATATTCCAAAATTGGAGCCTAAGCAATAGAAAAAAATAATTAAGCTCTGAAATTTTAAAAACTACAACGTGAAGGCATTGTTTACAAAAAGGTACAAATATTAAAATGGGAGGAGAAAAAGAAATTTGAAAAAATGTGAGAAGTTCATGAATATTTGCATTTCCAGGATAAAAATAAATCTCGATATTAAAATTACTTCTGGGAAAAATTAAACATAATTATATAGCTGCTGGAAGCATCTTCCAAGGTTTTAATTCTGAATTTTAAGGAAAGTAAGGCTTTTCCAACCAGATATTTTAAATACACATTTTTTATTATGACAGAGAATTGCTTTTATTTTATTAGCCAAGAATACATAGAACTTTAATGAGAATATTACATGAATTTATTTACATGGTACTATATAAGATAGAGGGAGGGTGGAGATCACATAAAACGTTCTTTATTTTATTAGATCTCATTCTACTATACTTTTAGATTTATATTATATTAAATCTGAGTAAAACAATCCCTAGAGCACAATTTGGTTTAAAATCAATTTGGTCAATGATTTTAGCAACTGATAGTTCTGTAATGCATTGTATTACATTTAGAGCCCTCTGGGATTCTTTTGAATATGTTGCACGGATGTGTATTACACAATTTTTGATTTAGATGGGCCCAAAGCTAATTCTATTGGTAAATTTTATATATATCACTCAATAGTAGAGGTGGTGATCTGCAATATGATATATACAGATGATGTGTGTATCATTTGTAATGTAAAATCTCTTTCTAACTGTAGTCAAGAAGGCCCAAGATCTTTAACATCTAATTAGTCCAATCCAACACTGCCTTCTGAAAGACAGTCTTACATAAATCCCAATAGATTAGTAAAATTCTTAAACTGTTTTCCTATACACTAACATTACATTTACATTTAGGATCTGGATATATTTTATTTTTATGCTGACAACATCTTTTCTCAACAGGTTAAATTAAGCCCAAAGGAAGTCATTTACAATTAAAGAATTGTCATTTGTTTGATTAACTAATGGCTTAAATCACAAACATAGCTTATTAACAAAACACTGTTAATTTCTTTCCACTAGAGTGTCACTTTGCCTTTTTAACAATACATGAAATTCTTAAAGTTGTTTTACTTTTCATTCCTCTAACTTTTGGTTTTCCTCCCTTCAACAGAAATGAAGACTTTTTCTTCCTAAATCCTGCTCACTATTATGTTGCAAGTTGACCAATTCTCCCCCAGAGAGGAGGATCAAGACAGAATGTTTTTTCATCTACCCAACTACATCAACGTCCCCAAAATTATAACTGGCAATAGAATAAGAGATCCATAATCTGCAGATCTGTCTCCTGACCACCAAGGGGCAGAAATGTATTTCTACCCCCTTACTTCTCGTACAGTAAAAGAGAAGTTAAAAATTACCTAACCAAACTCAGTGGTAGAGGTGGTGATCTGCTAAAGGATTTCACGCACCCACACTTTGCTTTTAGGAGCTATTAAAGCAAGTGCAAGTATAGAACATATATTTTTAAAGCTCTGATTTCAGACTGTAAGGTTTTTCTCTTTAGGAAATCTCTCTCTCTCTCTCTCTCTCTCTCTCTCTCTCTCTCTCTCTCTTCCTCCAACACCCCCTTAATCTATGCAATTTGGAAAGATGTTCCTTTTTGCCCTTCTCAGTTAATAAACATCTACATTCCCCGGAAAGCATTTGATCCTCCTGGCTCTTTATGGAAACACAAGAATGTTTACATTTGTAGGGTTGGAGTTGTTTTTCCTCCTTCCCAAACTTGAACCTACCAATCCAGCTTTCTTTCGCGCCTGCTGGAGCTCCAGGATCAAGTTCTGCAGCTCCTTTCCTTCCAGGTAGCCACTTCCTGCAAAGACAGACAGAGAAGCACCCAGGTGTCAGATATGTCACTCGGAGCGCTTCCCCGTCCACTTTCCACATCAGCTATCTTTCTGGCGACCTGAGAGGCTCTCTCTTGCCTCGACATTGATGAACCAGCAAAGGGTACAGAAGCGGCAGCGCTCCCCTTTCGGGGTGTCACACTTTAGATCCACTAAGGGAGGATGGATGATTGGGGTGCTGAGCCCAGCCATAGAAACTTTGGGGGGAGGGAAGGGTCCCCCATCCCTGCTCTCTCTCTCTCCTTCTACCATTCCTGGAAAGACAAAAGTTTAAGGTTCGGGGATTACCTGGAAGCAATATAAACTTTCAGGTTGATGGTTCGCAGCCAGTCAGAGAGATAAGATTAGGCAGAGCAAGGAAGAAGTAGAGAACAGAGAGACAGAATAAAGGGATCAGGAGGCTCAGGGGAGTTCAAAGGATGGGAAGGAGCGTGGAAACGGGTCTTGAAACAGTTAAAAAGAGAGAAGATAATCACCATCAGCGTCGAAATGAAGCCAGATCTCGAAAAACTGTGACGCTGTGATCAGGGATGATTGCAGGTGGGATTCTGCCATGGTGCAGCGGGGCGCGTGTGTGCGCGTGTGAGTGTGTCCGTGCGGGAGTGCGGTGCGTGCGTGCGAGCTGCGGCTGCGGAGCAAGAGCTGGGCGCGGGCGCTGCCGGGCGCTGTCCTCGGTGCTGCGCAGCGCGGCGGTCCTCCCGAGTGCTCTCCCCACACCCCGCACCCCGTCCTCGGTATTTATTCTGACGGCCCCAAGCCGGGCCACGCCTCCTCCTGCCTCTCGTTCCTCACTCCCCGCCTCTTGCTCTCACCAACCTGCTTCCCCTCCCTTCCTGTTTTCTCCTCTCCTCCCGGGAAAGCTGGCTGGAGCAGGAGTTCTGGAGTGTAGGAAGCAGCAGGTGGTTGAAGATCCTTTGCTCGGAGATTGGATGCTGCCGACAGAGACTCTTTCCCCCCACCGTCTCCTAATCCAGGAATAACCTTATTGCTGAATATTATAGTAAAACAACATACTTGGAAAGGGTATGCTTTTCATATGGAAGGAGAAAACTAACGAAGAATAGAACCACATAAATAAATGATGATCGTGTTTGTGTGTGATTTCTCCAGGACTTTCTGGTATCTGAACAAAATTGGGTGAAATCTAGGCAATAATTAGATTGATTTGATTAACGTATATAATAAATTCACTGATATCAACAATCACTCTATTTTGTGCTAGTAAAGACCATCATATGAATGTTTCTTAAGGTAGTTTATATAAACTAGCCTTGCCAGCATGAGAAAGTGTGAAAAAGCAGAATTACGATTTTAAAAATCTTGAAGTAGAATTATAAATTGGAAAGTGATAGAATTAAAGTACAAAAGCTCAAAATGTTAGAGAAGAAAATAATCTTAGAAATACTTTAATTTACTACTTCCGAGGTTAGAAAGAGTGAATAAACTAAAACAAATAGGAAGGATCTGACCCAAGTTTATACCTAGGTGAACCTGGTCACAGTCCCATTCGGTGGCCTTAACACATGTACCCCTCCTTTCTATATCAAACAATATGTGCTACAGAATTTTTCAAAACCTGCAAGTCACCATCAGAATTGAAAAAAACCACCTAACTAAATACATGTTATATTGTTTAATACAATAAATGACACATTTAGATTATTATTTACATAAATACTTCTAAATTATTTGGTTTTCAATCTTTTGAGATGTTGAGGGCCACTGAAAATGTATTCTGTATGTGATTACAAGGGTATAAAAGCAAAATGAAGAAACAAGAG